GAATGACATTGAGAACATTAGCGCTGGTTGATCTTATTGTGATAGGAACTGTAAGAGTTTACATTATGTTAATCTGCACTTGGCTTGTGAAAGACCCTAGTTTTAGTAATTGAGTGACAATCTAGGTGGACTAACATATGTTTGATGTAAAATACAAGGTGTTTAGTCCACAGGTACACAAGTATGAGCAACTAAAGCCATGGTGGTGAAGTTGCTTGGATTTATTGCAAAGCTCAACTAGTTGTGATGAAGGGGCTCATTGCATATGAGACATGACATGAAGTCATGTGGCTAGGTGAAGAAGATCAAAAGACATGGCTTGGCTATGATGGACCGGGTTGCAAGTGTGAATGACAAGTCGGAGGCTTTGGAGTGATGGACCGCATGTGGCGGAGAAGCTTGAGCAAGGACTTGGCACTGATGAACCAAGGCAATGGTGCAGAGCAAGCGAAGTTGTGGTCGATGAACCAATAAGGCCACATGGTGATATAAAGTGGATCATATCATTCAAAGAAGATCAAGCCAAGAGTTGATTTGTGTTGATGATCAAGGGGCTTGATGAAGGATGATGGAGGAACTTCATGCTATGGCAGTGATCAAAGGTATCATGGTTGGCTACACCTATGGATGATCATTGTTCATCATTTGATGAAGATGGAGGTTGGATGCTTGTGTAGCATCACCAACATGGAGATGAAATAGAATGCGCAAAGCAAAGGTATATTTGTAGGGCATTTCATTTCCCCGGTCAAAGATTGTGTAGAGAGAAGTGCATGACCGATTTAGGATAGATGCCCGTACTATTAAGAGGGGCAAACTTATTTGTATATCGGTCATATAGTGCCACTTGAGCGATCTAACTTTGCATGTGATGCTAGGATCAAGGGGTGGTTGGGAATAGAAGAAAAAGTATTTCAAAATGGTTGAAAAATGCTAACTCACACACATGAAATGTCGATTCACTTGGTGGAGTTGAGCACATTTGAAAAGGCTTTCAAAACAGAAGTTTGACGGGTTGTTTTAATGGTCATCGGTTACTAACCATCGAACAAGTTATTGCTCACATTGGACAAAGCTGGAGCGTGGCATCGGACGAACCGTTGGCACTGTGCATGTGCTAACCCGGACAAAGAAGTGTGGCATTGGACAAAGAAGAATTCGTTTTCGGGTTGGTTTGGAAATTCTAGCTTAGCTATTCGATTTTGGCCTTTATATGTGATTAATGAACAACAAGGCAAATCCATTTATGATGTTTGGGATGGGGAAGTTCTTAAACTATCTTTTAGAAGAACTATTTCTAATAGGCTGATGCGGTCTTGGTATGAGCTTTTGGGGTGGTAGAGAGTATAAATCTCTCGAATGAACAGGATCGGATTATTTAGAGCTTTAGTTCAAATGGATTTTTTTTCACTCAAGTCTTTATATGCTGTGATTAATCACAGAGGTGTATGCTTGTACATGTGCATGCTGTTTGGAAACTACAAATTCCTCCAAGAGTGCAGATTTTTCTGTGGCTGTTGACTGATGATAGATTGCTTTCCAAGGACAATTTGGCAAAGTGTAGAGAAGTTTTAGATCAATCTTGTTTGTTTTGTAAGGAGCAGGAGACTATTATTCACATGTTCTTTGAATGCGCGTGGCTAAGAGAGTGTGGAGCATTAGAATGATACAGGTATTTATAGATTACAATCAAGGTATGAAACTGAACTGTTTCAATGTGTGACTGAACGTTTCAACTTCTAGATGATTCATATTCTAATATGGTGCATTGTCTTTTTGTATTCTAAATCTCAGTGAGGAGTGTGATTTTGAGCTTATTGCTACTTGCTGGATTGCAAATAACAAACATGCAATTTTCAATTTTATTAGCTTTTCAGTTTTATGGTGCTTATGGAAATTACGAAATAATATGCTTTCAGGGCGAAGTCTGGAAGGGGGACGTTTGGAGGAATACTTGGATCAACATCCAAGAATCGGTTGGCAGGACTCAAGAATGCCGCAGGACTCAATGAGGGAAGGGATGAACCCTCGGCATGCAGTGAAGTCCACGTGTGGATCATTCTATGGTTGAAACTCTGTATTTGAGGGGGGGCGGGGCCGGGGGCGGCGGGGACGCATGAACTTAAACGCACCCTGTTACGCTTTATGCCAATAAAGCGGGGGTAACCTTTTCTATCTAAAAAATAAGAAGAAAATAGCTCAGGTTTGTCATGTCGTGTCGTGCGTTTTTAGGACTATGTATTATGTATGAACCCGTGTAAAACACGATGCATGTGCCCGCGTGAACGGGATCAGAGCCAGAACAGTAGGGCTAGTTATGGGACGTCCGGCCCTAGGTCCGCGTCCGGACGCAGCTCCGACGCGTGTAACTGCTTCGCATCGGACGCCTCCCGCGCTCGCATTAGATCTCATGCTAGCGAAAATCGCGTCCGGCCGCCCGTGACCGATCCCGCGCCAGTGACCGCGTCTGACCGTCCGCGATTCGATCCCCATCCCCATCCTGGTTGCGCCCGGCATCAAGCCCGCCGCACTCCTTCCCCCGCCACGCCACGCTCCTCCCCTACCGCGCCGTACTCCTCCCCTCGCAGCGGCTCCATCCCCGCCGCGCCCCCCATCCTCCGCCGCGACGCTGTCTCGACCACGCCTTTTTCCCTGTCCTAACGTCTCATCTCCTCCGCAACATCTGTCTGACCGTTGCAACATATGCAATATACTATTGAAACATACTTGTATAGTCATTGCAACATCTAGATGAAACACATAAAATATACGTCTGAAACAGCTAAAACATTTGGAACATACATTTGTAACATACGTCTAAAAACATATGAAACATGTGGAACATACACTTAAAACATACATGTGTAGCCATTACAACATATGCAACATTAGATCCTTTTGCAACATCAAGATGAAATACATGAAACATACATATAAACGCGTGAAACATAAGTCTGAAACAACTGAAAAACTTAAAACATATACTTGCAAGAAACGTATATAGTCATTGCAACATACGCAACATATAGATGAAACACTAGAAAACAACTTCTGAGACACACCTAAAACAAAACAGGGCGCCGTAAGCAGCCATGGCCTACGTGGTGGGGAACTACAGTAGCCAGCAAGCTCGGGTCTCCGCGATTGGGGGGGGGGGAGGGCATGGCAAGGTGGGGGAAGGGACACGACACGATGGGGAAAGGGCACGACACGAGCGGGAGACGGGTGCGCGGTGGGGGAAGGGGGCTGGCGGATGAGCGGCCACGTGGCCACGCACGCAGCTCGGCTCGATGATGAGCGCCAGGCCTAGGCGGGGGCACAGGGTAGCGGTCGGCAGGGTGGCCACGCGCGGAGCCCCGCTCGATGACCAGCGCCAGGCCTAGGCGGGGCAGCGGGCAGGGTGGCAGTGAGCCACGCTACTGGCTCGTGACGAGCGCCAGGCCTAGGTGGGGTAAGGGCAGCGGCCTAGGTGTGCCTCTCGGGCAGCGGCCTTGGCGCCAGAGGCGGCAGCGGCCTTCGTGCTCTCTCGGGCAGAATCTTGAGTCGCGGCCTTGGGGTCATGGGATTGAGCGGAGTGGGGATTTTTAAGAGATGAATCCGTGTGGGGGGCGCGTCCGACGCTGCGTCGATGGAGGCATTGGGGAATCGATGGTTAAAGTCGCGGCCTTGGGGTCATGGGATTGAGCAGATAAGGAGTGGGGATTTTTTTTAAGAGATGAATCCACGTGTGGGGGGCCGCGTCCGGACGCGTCGTGATAGGAGCATTATCGGAGCCAGAACGGAAGAAGGGAGCTAGCTTCTTCACGTCCTCGGGGTATGTACACGTACACGGAACATCGCCCGCACACACTCAGGATGGGCGTACTGAACCTGTCTCAGCCCGGCCCGAAAAGCTCAAGCAACGTACAACATTGAACCGAACAGGTAACCCCTCCTGTCGGCGGCAAGTGTGGCAAGAGATGGAGCTAATCAATCAGCCGAGGCCGGCAAGTGTGGCAACTGGCGAAGGACGCCGAGCGCGGGACGCGCGATTCATGAAATAGGAGCCGGCGGCAGGAGTCCGGGAGGTCAGGCTCAGGCTGGTCGGTCAGCGTGTGGAAGGCAGGAGCCGACGCCGAGGAGGGCACGGCGGCGTTGGCAATATACGCGGATGACCGGCTGAGATCACGCAGCAATTGATGGAGTATCAGAGCGGCACTGAACCCGTGACTCCACGTCTGTCCCATTCAGAAACCTCCCTCTGTACGCACTTGTCCAGCAGCAGCAGCAGCCGCCGCCGCCCTGCACTCTACAAGCCAGCCATCCCTAACCAAGCATAAACTTCAGAGGCTGATGGTAGATCGTTCTTTTATTTGCAGTAGAAATGTGTGAGGTTACATTTTGCTTCCATACAGCTGTAAAAAGGCCATGTTCTCTCAACATATGTACACTTGAGCTTCACAACGCCTGTTCTGGCTACTCAATCCCCTAATTAAACCGCCTACGTTTTCAGGAGAGAAACCAAATGCTTTGCGGTGACTCCAAGCAACAACAGGAAGCTCACTTCGCAAGCTTCCATGCATCCTCTCTTCAGGGGTACTGCCGAGGCGGCGCTTCAGTTGGTATTGGTACGCCTTGGTGTTCTTTAAGGTTCAGGTGAGTCTCCCTACACCTGTGAAGATAGCCAACAAAACAAGTTAGGACTGTCTCCTCTGTGGGATAGACTGCATATGTACATATCTCGACAGACTTCACTTGCAAGAAGCAGCGAAGACATTCTCAATGAAAACCATTGGGGTCCAACCCAGCAGCACTGGATTCAAGCAGGAGTAAATAAACACTATCTTGGAACGTTATAGGGCCGTTTTGGGTCAGGGTTACAGCTTACAGGCTACCAATTCAGAGAAGAAAAAAAAGATGTTCACGTCAATAGGTCAAACTGGTAGAATGCTGAAAGTGAGAAATATAATAGCAGGTTCTACTAGATTCAGAACAGGTTGGTCATATATTTTTCTATATCATCAGGACTGGTAAGAAAGGAAGTACACCTGTCTTCGTCTCTGATGCTGCAAAGCATAGCAAGAACGAGCTATTACATAACAAGGAAGAAAGAATCCCGCAAACTGAAGAGTTGCCTGAAATAAACGAAAGCTTTAGTGTCATGTATTGATAATACACATGGAAAAATAAAAATTCAATCCCACTATGGACTGAGCAACAAATGATAAATGCAGAAGTGGGCTGTAATCAATCAAGGGCAAATCTTTGCTAATAAAACACTGTCATCAATTTATCTTGAAGTATTTGTTATTCTTTTGCAGCCACTGGGGTATACGATTTTGTAATAGACATTAATTAGCTCTCAGCATCATGCCATTTCAACATAAACATATTACACGATCTTGGCATGACATGTTAATAACAGAATGAAGCATTATCGCACTTTGACAGCATTCATAGCATCATGCAGAATATGGAACTCAAACAGAAGCAGATCACATCATCTCAGCAGGACATGTTAACTAGGTTTTTTGAACTCACACTGAACAACACTGTTGCATCTTGTAGCATGCTAACATCCCTCACAATGACAATTACATGTCGTACAAGCAAAAGGAACATCAACTGCAATAAAGCCAATATTAGATTCCACTACCGAACACAAATAAGTCAACACAAATAAGTATTAAGTCTGTGAAGAAAGAGCTTTTTTTGACGTACAATTAAAGCAATAGTTCGGCAGCATGTGACACCATTAGAATTTGCAGATACACAATCATCAAATTCAGCTTGCAGCAGCTGCTGCTCTGCGATGGCAATGGCTAGAAAATGGGAATCATGAGGATCGATTCGTCCAACCCAGTTTTGCCTGTTTACCAAAAAAGATCACCCATTCAGAATATGTACATTGGGGTCACTCAAAAAATATGCACAAACTGGAACACCACATCTGCGTTACTATTGAAAATTAAGGGAAAACAACTGTGCTTCCTTAATTGCTGTTAAAGGGTACAAATCACATTGTTCAAGTTACCCCCACAGAACATAAGGTTATTTTCACAATATGTTTTTCATTTAGAAAGGATTGATTTCCACAAATTGAGCAAAGCATAAAGAATTGTATCAGCAAGTACCTGAGATCCATGTCCACTTCATCTGAACAACATTTAGGTGGAGGGATGACATAATTCGGGGAGTAAACCTGTAGAACATAGGGACAACAAGACAGATATGAAAACTTTAACAAGAACAGCAAAATACAAGATATATAGAGTGTTCCCATTTCTCCTTATTTCTTCTGCACTGCAGTTGCATTGAAATGGATTGCTAATATAAACCTAGGCCATGTTTAGTTGCCCGGAATTGGCGCAGCCGAAAATACTGTAGTAGATTACTGTAGCGCAATGTAGCATTTCGTTTGTATTTGGTGCTAATTGTCTAATCGTTGACTAATTAGGCTCAAAACGTTCGTCTCGCAAAGTACAACCAAACTGTGCAATTAGTTTTTAATTTCGTCAACATTTAGTACTCCATGCATGTACCGCAAGTTTGATGTGACGGGAAATCTTCTTTTTCATGGTGCCAAAGTTTGGATTTTAGGGTGAACTAAACATGGCCCTACTGGATCTATCCAAATCAAATAGCCGATAGTAGACTGGAAACTCGGCAAGGTCAAAGTAGCATGCCACACCATCTAGAAATGATATGGTACACAGTATGAAACAGAGAGAAAAATTGCTACTTTGGTCTTGTAGCAGAATAACAGAAACACCCACCTGGTTGCAGATTTCACATGTAATATTGCCCTTCTTGTTGCACCATCTCTGTATGCATTTCCTATGGGCAAACTGCATACAACCAACGCCAATAGGTCAACACACGATTAGCATTTTCTTCAACAGATACTCCTAAGTCACGTGTACAACAACGTCAAGGGGAGAAAGGTTTATTGGATAACTGAAAATGGGGGTACAGTATATATTAGGATAAGGATTATCTATCGATTGAAAAATCGGATGATTGGACCTGTCCACAACAAAATCGGGTTTTCTAGAACTCATTCAATCCAAAGGATACTGTTTAAGACAAACCCAAAACCTGGCACAGCACCTGCAAATACGGAGGCCGAGTGAACAGACGATGAAACACTGACAGTCTGACACTGTTTCACTTGGTAGACGAAGATAAAACAATCACGGTAAGAACAGCAAGATAATCACGGAAAAGAAGGAAGCAGGTTGAACATAAACATCGACATAACCAAAAGCAAATTTCCAAAACGCAGTGACCAGAAGAAAGGGTAAACAGAACTTCAGAAGCACAGAAATGGCATCTTTAAATCTGTCCAGCTCCCAAATAATCACCATTCTACTCCAAATTTACCAACCACTACACTTTAGACTCACCTCGGCTCCTCAAACATCCAGGCAAAGTTCAGAGGGAGACGATAGGAGAGAGGGGAGAGAGAGAAACAGAGGAGAGCGCTCACCTTGAGTGTGCCAGTGCAGGCGCAGGGTGAGTCCATGGCGGCCTCCTCCCCCTCCTCCTGGCATATCCGGCACTCTATGACCCCCTTCCCGTCCACCCCCATGCCGACCTCCACCTCCACATGTCCTTCGCCGCCAGAGCAGCCATCGCCGGCGAGTTTCTCGGTGCGCGCCATCTCCAAGCAGCTTTCTTGGAGCAGGTGGTAAAGTCTGAGAATAACCAAAAGGCAGGGCCTTTTTAGCTCTGGGGACACCACCAACTCCAAGAACAAGAAGAGGGAAGAGCGGAGAACAAATACAAAAGGAAATGAGTTAGCCTTTACCTTTTCTATTATCCTAATACTCCGTGCTATTTTATCAATTTCTGCATTTCTTTCTCGCTCCAAGCCTTGCAGTTTGTTTGTTTATTTATGGGGTCCAATGATGGGTGAGTGATTGGGTTTGTGGGGTTAGTGGGCAATGGATAGCTTCCACTCCTGGTAGAGTGCTAGTGGAGGATGAGTTTATACTGACACGCCGATACTGAAAAGTCTTTTCCTTTACTTCTAAATTATTTTTCCTGAAGTGAAACATTGAAACATCTCTCTCTCTCTCTCTGAATTTTGTGAGAAATTTTATTGCAAACTTTTGTTCCCTCTTGTCTGAGCTGGGCCCTAGGTGACTGTCTTAGCTCTGGGCAGGCACTAAAAGCATCTCCAGCACTAGGAGAAAACTTTAACCTAAAAATCAGTTAATGTGAGAAATACAAAACGTGTTTAAGGATTTTGAAGGTATTCTTTCCAGCAGAACGAGAAAATACAATCTCTAATGAGAAAAATAGTGAATTGGAGAGGAGAGGTCTTTCCATTATTTGATGGGTGAGGGGCTATGATTTGAGGGACCGAGAAAAAAATTCTCATTGGGGTTAGGGTTATGAACTGCTAGAGCTATAAAATCTTTAAAATAACTGTTGTTTTTTATTAGGGGTTAGGAAAGAGGGACTGCTGGAGATGCTCAGACTAGGAGGGCTGTGATTAAACCCCTTTTGTTTTGTTCTTCCCATGTCATGATGGTACAGTTGGTTCTGCCCTTTTATTTTATTTTCATTTTTTTTGTGTGTGTGTCATGGTTCCCTGCCCTTTTGTCTTGCTTGTAAGAGGACATGCTTGGTTAGAGTCTTAGGAAAATTGCATGCCCGAGAGAGTTCTATTCAATAAAAGCCAAGCAAAATCAGACATCTAAGATTGTTATCTGGGTCAGGCAACTTTCTTGAGGTCAGAACCAAATAGAGCCCAAGTGCAGAAGTATATACTACTTGAAAAGAGCAAGCATTCTTTTTTATATTGAAATTGGGCTTTTGTTGAAAGATGGAATTAGAATGTGAGTATACGGTACAAATGATTATGAAGTACGGTAGCTTAGATCCAAGAAGCAATATAGAGGTGTACTCGCTTTGCTAACCAAAATGTCCATCACTATTATTTGCTTAAGACTTATACTGGCCCTGTTCGCTTGTCTTATAATTCGTATTTTTAGCTTGCTTTTTAGCAGGAACAATATTTTTCTCTCACGACAAATTAGCCGGAACAGTGTTTCAGCTTATTTTTTCAGCGAAGCAAACGGGCCACTGTTGTGCAACAGGTACAACAACGAATAAGACTGTACACTCTCGGCTACCTTTTGACGTGGAAACATATGGTTATATAGTACAAAATGAATCACTTTTGAATTTTAATCATGTTTGGGGCAATGCCCCTCTTGCTCTGTACATAAACCTCTTTACTCTTCTTAATTGAAAGGCAGAGCTCCTGTCATTACGTTAAAAAAAATTAATCATGTTTGGAGCTCTATTTTCTTCTTTAAAAGAATATAAAAGTAATTACATTTGAAGCTATAGATATTGAACTAATTCAAAAGGGAAACACCAAATTATAATATTTTGGAAAAAGAATAGACACCTAGAAAATGTAAAAAGGCTATGCAACTCTAATTATCTAGTAGTATCTAACACATTAATCATCATAGTCAGGTGGTGCCTGCCTCTTCTACGGAAGCCTTAACTTTTGTGGAGGCAAGATTTGATGTGTGTACTTGGGTGGTTAAACCACCATTGCGTTCGATTTCAACGAGAGGTTGATGTACCTTTTTGGACTGTGACCGGTCACCCTCTGCATCTTAACACCGTTATCATTAAGGCCCCGTTTAGTTTCTCCCAAAATCCACATCGAATCTTGCGGCACATGCATGGAGTACTAAATGTAGACGAAAAAAACTAATTGCACAGTTGGGTGAGAAATCACGAAACGAAACTTTCGAACCTAATTAGTCTATAATTAGACACTAATTGCCAAATAAAAACGAAAGTGCTACAGTACCCCAAACCCAAAAATTTTTGGATCTAAACACGCCCTAATTCTAAGCCAGCTTGTATGTCACATTTGTGTGCAGATATTTCTGGTCTAGAACCCCCTCTATGTTTTGTTTTTTGGGAATAATGCAGCCACTTATATTCATTCGTCTGAACCAATGATGACAGATAATGGTACCTAATCTGCTCTGTCTGATTTGGCTGCCAAATCAGCAACTTAATTCTTTGCCAAACTAAATGATATAAACAAGAAGTACATATTAGGGGGTTGAGAACCCAAGGTATGCTAAAATCATTCTCCAAGCAAAGTGTGTGCATTCACAATGCTTCACAAATTGTACTATATACAAGATTCCTGACAGCTGGGCTGGTGTGGCTCCAAGCCAAGCTCAGGCCCAAAAAGGAAAGATTCTACAAGATATGTAATTTTGAAAAATTATAGTAGTAAGTAGCAATTTGAGATCTAGCAATCCTGTTGGTTGGTAGTTCAGCATTGAAGGTATCAATGTGTCTTCATCATTAAAAAAATATTGGAAGCGTGAGAGGAAGGTCCTGTGTCCAATCATCTTCCCTAATGAAATGACTTCTTTCTGGTATAATGACGTGGCTACTATCCATGACGTGAACATTTCAGCACTGAAATAACAATGTCAGGAAGTTGCAAAATACTGTCATGACAGGGAATTCTCATGGGCCATGGAACCAGAAGTGCAAATGTTTAGGGCCGGGTCTTCTCCTCGACTAGAATATATGCAGCTGATTTTCTCTGAAAAAAAGAAGGAATAATTGCCCTGTTCACTTGGCTGATAAGCCATGACTGAAAATATTGTTGGCTGATTTGTTGTGAGAGAAAAATATTATTCGTTGGACTGAAAAAATATGGGTTATAAGCCAAGCGAACAGGGCGAATATGTGCAGTTGGTAGGTCACTGGCGATGTGGGGCAGTGTGAACCTTGGGATATAGCTGGCCATTTGGCGGGCACCATGGGCCGGCCCAAGCACGGCACTAAGTAGCACGGCTTGGCCCGAACGGCCTGGCACGGCCCGACCTTAGTGTCATGTATGGGCCGCCATTCTGGCCCGTAGTGCCGGCACGGGCACGGCACGCTATATGGGCCGGCCCGGCAGCGGCACGACTCGACATCGTTGGATCTCCGGCCGCTCCCATCGGACCGTTGGATCCGACCGTTGGAATATGAGGTATAAAACCCGTCCCGGACGGCCGGCCGCATCTCAATTCGTCGCCCAAATTCATTTGCTCTCACTCCTCTCAGCTCTTCCCCGCAGCGCCGTCTGCCCGCTCCTCTCTCGCCTCGCTCTCCTCTCTCGGTGAGTCGGCGTCGACGACTTGCTCTCCTCTCTTGCCTCTCGACTTCCTCTCTTCTTCTCGCTCTCCGGTGGCCTCTGGAGCCACCGCTGGCCGGCACTGGCACAATCCCTAATCCTAACTCTTGCTCAATCCCTAACCTTAACCCTTGATCTCGCTTCGTCCTCGCCGGATCCATCGTGTACTTCGCCGGATCCATGCCTCATCGACCTTGCCGGTTTCGTCCCTCGTCGTCGACCTCACCGGATCCGTGCCTCATCGACCTCGTCGGCGACTCTGGTGCTCCGGCTTTGAAGATAAGTCGCCGTCGACCTAACCCTTGCTCAATCCCTAACCCTAACCCTCGATCTCTACTAACCCTTGCTCTGTTTTGTCTGAAGCCATTGAGGGACAGGGGTGCCGACGAGTGGCGATGGCTGGATCCGACGATGAGACGGTTGAGGTCGGTTCCAACTAAGAGAGGCGGCTGTGCGGGTTGGCCGGAGATGATGACGAGGACGACCTGCGCGAGGACGCCACGGAGCTGTTCGGCCGTAACGTTAAAGCTCCCATCGTCCTCGAGCCCTGCGACGATCAAGCAGTGGACGGGGAAGAGAATAACGGCAAACGGTCACGTCCCTCTACCTCGGCAGTGTGGCTTGATTTCAAGAAACTCTTCAAAATAGAGAATGGTAAGAAGGTCAGGTATGGAGCTAAGTGCATCCATTGCTCTAAGGAATACTCTGGGCACTCTAGTGGTGGCACTGGTCACCTCACCCCGCATAGGGATAAATGCCCTAGGAGGCATGAAAAAACTTACATGTCTCAGTCACAGATCTCTTTTAATCCTGATGGTAGTATGCATAATTGGGAGTACTGTCCTATTGTTGCTCGTACTCAACTGGTTCGATTGCTTGCTAGGCTTTATGTTCCTATCACTTTGGGAGAATCATATGCATTTGAAGAATACATTAGAACTGCTCATAATCCTAAATTTGTTTCAGTCTCTAGGCAAACCACCACTAGAGACATGTTTAAATACTTCACTAATTAGAAGGCTAAGCTTGTTAAGACTGTTAGTTCTGCTAGTGTTAATTGTGTGTGTCTAACCTCTGATATTTGGTCTGGTAATGCCAAAGAGGACTACCTTAGTGTTGTTGCTCACTACATAAATTTTGATTGGCAACTAGAGAAGAGAGTGCTTGGTCTTAGGCTTATTGATTGTTCCCACAATGGATAAAATATTGCTGATCTTGTTGTATCTGTGCTTGCTGATTATGGTTTGACTAGAAAAGTATTTGCTGTTACTTTGGACAATGCATCATCTAATGTATCAGCCATGCAAAAACTTAGACATGTTCTTTTCTAAATATCTTGGTATTGAAGTTGTGGACAATGCATCATCTAATGATAGTGATGATTTAGACAATGCAGTTAATTGTATGTTCTTGCATCAGCGTTGTGTATGTCACATTATCAATCTGGTTGTTAAGAAGGTCCTAACTGCTCTTAAGCCTTTGAT